CTAGTCTTCAGTCTGGTCAGGAGTTCAAGCCCCACCTCTGGAGTCAAGTTCCACCTCCTACCTCAATCTTGCTTCAACCAGATAAAGTTGAGTTCTGGACTTGCAAACACTCCTCAAGATCAATTATGCTCTCTGTGAGGTTTTCCCTGAATATTCAGCTTACAAGTCTAGCTCTCTCCTCCTTTTTTTTTTTTTTTTTTTTTTGAGACAAAGTATTGGTCTGCTACCCAGGCTGGAGTACAGTAGTGCAATCTCAGCTCACTGCAACCTCTGCCTCCCGAGTTCAAGTGATTCTCCTGCCTCAGCCTGCTGAGTATCTGGGACTATAGGCGTATGCCACCATGCTTGGCTAACTCTAAGGTTTGCAATTTTTTCTTTGTGGGGGCAGGGATGGAGTTTCATTCTTGGTGTCCAGGCTGGAGTGCAATGGCATGATCTCAGCTCACTGCAACCGTTGTCCCCCAGTTTCACGTGATTCTCCTGCCTCAGCCTCCCAAGTAGCTGGGGCTACAGGCATGCACCACCATGCCCAGCTAATTTTTTTGCAGTTTTAGTAGAGATGGGGTTTCTCCATTTTGGTCAGGCTGGTCTCGAACACCCAACCTCAGCTGATCTGCCCCCTCAGCCTCCCAAAATGTTGGGATTACAGGCGTGAGCCACCGTGCCTGGCCAGATATTTTATATATTAACTTTTTATTTCTCACGATAATATTCTGAGAAGTACACTTACTTTCAGAAGATAAACAGATTTAGGGAGGTAGCCCTTGGTAACTCACTGGAAGTTTTTGAAAAGGGGAGTGACATGAGCAGAACAATGATTTAGAAGCCTGATTTTAACTATAGTGTAGAGGGTATATAGCAAAGGTGGAAACTAGAGGCTGGTAGACCAGATAGTTTCCAGCGATTATAGTTTAGGCTATAAGGACCTGAACTAGGAAGGCACATCAACAATAGAAGAGAGGTTCTCAACCTTTTTGTCCTTCAACAAGAAATGTATCCAAGGAATAGAACATACATTCAGCCATTATAATGATGTCTCCATTTCCAACTCTATGTGTGGGAATTACTGTAGAGGTGAATCTCTATCATGAGGTAGGAGGCAGGATTGATCTCCAGAGGCAGGGCTTGGACACTGGACAAAACTGAGGACTGGCTAAAAGAGGGACAGGGCGGAAGTCATGCCTCCCAGTGTGCTCTGTGCCATGTCAGATTACCACTGCCACGGTAACAGCAGGGAGCTATCATCCCTTTCCGTGGCGGTGATGTGACAACCCAAAAGTTACTCCCCTTTCCCTAGAAATTTCTGCATAAACTACCCCTTAATCTACATGTAAATAGAAGTAGGTATAAATATGACTGCAAAACTGCCCTGAGCTGCTATTTCTGCAGGAGCAGTCATGGAGTTGTAACCCCTCTTTAATAAAGCCGTTTTTTTTTTTTTTTTTTTTTTTAACCATCAGCTTGACCCAGCTTATCCCTGGGTAAAGCCAAGAACCCACAGGCTAAGAGCCACTTTGGGGCTCACCTGTCCGGCATCAAATCTACATAATTTAGACTTTGTAGTGGTCAAGAAGTAAGATTAACTCAGTATATTACACAAGCTCAAACTTGATAGTCGTCCTTGACTACCTCTTTCAGTGTTGCCCTCCATATTCATTTGGCCAACAATTCCTGCTGATTTCACCTTCTTAATGATTTCTCAAATTTACTCCTCTCTCTAGTTTAACTGCCATGGGGTTCTTCAAAAGTTTCCTGATTCCTGCAGGCAATGTTAGGTGTCTTTCTTCTGCCTTTTTGTCGTATTTTGAGCATAACTTCATTGTGGGACTTAGAATATATATTCTCATTACATTGAAATCATCTGTTTATACATGCTTCTCCATTCAACCATGATATTCTTTATTTTTTATTTTTTTTGGGGCACAATTTGACCTTTCAATGTTATTCAACCAACCATGATATTCTGAAGGGCAGTTTTAAAAAGAAAATCTTGTATCTCTAGTGCCTAGCATATGATAAGGCTCAATGAATGTTTGAGGAAGGCAAATGACTTTGCTATTTTTAGCCCAACTGGCAGGATAAGTGCTACATTGACTTTTGCTGCATTCTTACTATGTATCAGATATTTGAACAGAAAGATGAGAAAGAAACAGTTTCTGCATTGAGTACATGGACACTAGGAAGGGAGCAATATATACCAGGGCCTACTTGAGGGTGGGAAGAGGGTGAGGATTGAAAAACTACCTATCAGGTACTATGCTTATTATCTGGGTGAGAAAATAATCTGTGCACCAAACCCCTGCAACATGCAATTTACCCATGTACCAAACCTGCACACACATCCCTTGAATCTAAAGTAAAAGTTGGAAAGAAAAAAAAAAAAAAAGAAATAGTTTCTGTTTTGGAGGAGCTCGGATAACAGCAAGGGAAAATATAATGACTAAGAGCACAAACTAACTGTGTGATCTTTTATCAATTATTTAATTTCTCTGAATCTCAGTTTCCTTATCTGTAAAATGAAGCCTATTATGTATATTTAAATCTTTACAAGAATTAGTAGAATAAGCTATAATGCAATGCAATCTTACAAATTCCTGTAAGGATTAAAAGAACTATTTTTTGGTACTTAACACAGTGACAGGCATAGTAGACACAGGTTGTTATTATTAACACTGATGAGCCTAGAAGAATATCACAAAGCGAGGGAATTTTTTTTTTTTTTTTTTTTTTTTTTAAAGAGGGAGTCTTACTCTGTTGCCCAGGCTGGCTTGTAGTGATGAAAATGTCACTGTAAAATTATAACTGAGACAGTGAAAGACATCTGACCTCACTAACTCCATCTTTCATGTAACCTCCATGCTGTCCTTCTTCCCTCCTGGGCATAGGCTGAACTAACTTTGGGAGGAATTTTTAGTTTACAGCTGAGAACAAAGACGATTAACAGCTCTTTCCGAAAACAAATCCTTTTCTTGCCTAAAAAACAGATCAATGTTTGATATATTTTTTTAGAGCCTACAAAATGCATCAGCTGGCACCACCCTGATTAGTAAACTGGCTCATCTGATCTTGAGGTCCCAATCCAGGAACTGACTAAGATTCTGATCCTCCCCAGATTGCTCCTGGGAATAACACTATTGTAAAGCCTAAGATCAGGATTGAGATATTTGTCAGATCCTGCGAAATGGATCAGCTGGCACCACCCAGATTGGTAAGCCGGCTCATCTGATCTTGGGGCCCCAACCCAAGAACTGACCCGGTACAAGGTAGCTTCCACTTCCTGTGATTTCATCTCTGACCAACCAATTAGCACTTCTGACTAACTGACTGCCTCCCCAAGCACCAAATTGTCCTTAAAAACTCTGATCCCTGAATGCTAGGGGATACTAATTTGAGTAATGATAAAATTTTGGTCTCCTGCACAGCCAGCTCTACGTGAATAACTCTTTATTGTAATTTCCCTGTCTTGACAAATCAGCTCTGTCCAGGCATCAGGCAAGGTGAACCCCTTGAGCAGTTAGTTACAGCGACTGTCCCAATCACAGCTCACTGCAGCATCAAACTGAAGTGATCCTCCCACCTCAGCCTCCCTAATAGCCAGGATTACAGGTGCAAGCCACAGAGATCAGCAAAGGGAAGTTTTTAGGATCACAGCCATTGGGTACAGAAAATGACTATGTACCTTCACAGTGAGGCAGGAAAGTCTTAAAAGTCAAAGCCTTAGAAATGTCTTAGATCCGCTGGGCACCATGGCTCACACCTGTAATCCCAACACTTTGGGAGGCCTAGGCAGGTGGATCACAAGTTCAGGAGTTCAAGACCAGCCTGACTAATATGGTGAAACCCCGTCTCTACTAAAAATGCAAAAAATTAGCTGGGTGTGGTGGCACGCACCTGTAGTCGCAGCTACTCAGGAGGCTGAGACAGGAGAATCGCTTCAACCTGAGAGACAGAGGTTGCAGTGAGCTGAGGTCACACCACTGGACTCCAGCCTGGGCGGCAGAGCGAGACTTTGTCTCAAAACAAAACAAAACAAATAAACAAAAAAAGGTGGGGAAGAAATGTCTTAAGAGCCCTGAAAATCAATGAAGTCTTAGACCTGGGGGTCAAACCTCAAATATGACAGCAGCCAGAAATTTATTCTATCAGAGGTTGGGAATCACCAGGGAGCTTCAAAGGCAGATCAATGGCCAGGTCCTAGCCCCAAACTCGTAAGAATTTCTAAGAGTTGGTCTCCAGCGTGAGTATGGTTTTACTTCTCCTAAAGTGATTCTAATGTCCAGCCAGGGTTGAGAACCACTGCTATTCTAAACCAATGCAGGTAAGATAGGAAATCAAATGTCATTTCCTATTTCATTTCCTCGATTGTTGCAATGGAATTTCTCAGCTTCAAAAGTCCAGAATTTCAATGTGAGATTTCGCAAGTTCTAAAATGTTGGCAAGTAATTAATTAAAAAAAAATTCGGGTCAAAGAAAACATGGATTTGGACCCTAGTGAGTGTGTCACTTCTTTTTATTTATTTATTTATTTATTTATTTTTAAATAGAGATAGGGTTTCACCATGTTGGCCAGGATCGTCTCAATCTCTTGACCACGTGATCCACCCGCCTCGGCCTCCCAAAGTGCTGGGATTACAGGCGTGAGCCACCGCGCCCGGCGGTGTCACTTCTTAACCTTTCTAGCAGTTCAACCTCAGGTTTGAACAAACAACCTGATTCTGAGAAGTTAAATAACTTGTCCACGGTTACACAGCCAGTCAGAATAACAGTTGGGATTAAAACCCAGTTCCTCTGAATTTAATTAATGTTCTTTGTACGTCAAGGAAGGAACACCTGAAGATGGGCTTTAAAAATGGGCAAGAGGAACGCGAAGTTAGCCAGCCATGATCGTAAACACGCATGCGCTTATTTCTGGCGGCGTGGCGGAAGAGCAGGGCAGGTTAAAGGCGATGAATTACGACCGCTGCTGGCGACGCTCACGACTCCTGCCGTAAAGGCCGTGTGTTGCGCCTGCGCACCTTCTTTCCCTTTCGGATTTCCGACGCGTTGGTTGCTGTAAAGGTTCTCAGCAGCGCCACACGGCCGTCGCCATGGTGAAGCTGAGCAAAGAGGCCAAGCAGAGGCTGCAGCAGCTCTTCAAAGGGGGCCAGTTTGCCATCCGCTGGGGTTTTATCCCTCTTGTGATTTACCTGGGTCAGTGAGAGAAGAACCGGGAAAGTGACTGGAGGGAAGAGGGTGGCGGAGACTGCGGCCTGATTTTTGGCCATCGGGGGAGGGAGAGAAAAACAGGGGATACCGCCGTTCATGGCCCTTGAGGCTGCCTGATCAAGTGGGGCCGATCTTCCCTGAGTTCGAGTTCCCGTTCTATCGCTTTATAGTTGCGTGGTCTTTAACAAATCTTGCAATCCCTCCTTTTCTATTTTTGCATCCTTAAAGTGGAGGTCATACTTCTCGGGCTTGTTGTGAGAGTTGGATGACCCCAGTGGATGTGAAAGCGACTAATTCACTCTTTGGCATTAGGTGGGTTCTCAGGGTGTTCGTCCTCACCTCTCCATGTGGTCCTAAGTGGAAAGAGGCCTGTTCTGGGAATCTAGACACCTCGTGAAAGTACCACTGCCATGAAAGCATGGTTATAATAGTCGTTAGATGTCTCTGCTTTCTTACCTGTACAATGAAGGGTTTGGATGATTTCTATTACTGGCCCCATTTTACAGGTGAGGAAACAGCCATAGAGAAACTTTTTTGCCGTGGTCGCACAGGTGTGTTGAGGGTGTTACGGGCTCAGGCAGTGGGGCACCAGAGCCCATAGTCTTAACCACTATAATGTACTTCGAGGATTTGGGGTTTTTTTGATTTTCGTTTTTGAGACAGAGTCTCGCTCTGTCACCCAGACTGGAGTGCAGTGGCGCTATCTTGGCTCATTGTAACCTCTGCCTCCTGTGCTCTAGCGATTCTCCCACTTCAGCCTCCCAGGTAGCTGGGACTACAGGCTCGTGCCACCACGTTCGATCACTGCAAGGATTTGTAAGTGCCCGGGCAAATATTTTTCAGTTAGAGCTGCACAATGGGACCTTATTCTGTAGTTTTTTTCTTTTCTCCTTTTCTTTTTTCTTCTTTGAGACACAGTCTCGCTCTGTGCCCAGGCTAGAGTGTAGTGGCGCGATCTCGGCCCACCGCAGTCTCTGCTTTTCAGGATGAAGCGATCCTTCCTCCTCAGTCTCCCGAGTAGCTGGGATTATAGACTTGCAGCCATCGATAGCGACTAATTTTTATATTTTTTTTTTTAGTAGAGACGGGGTTTTGCTATGTTGGCCAGGCTGGTCTCAAACTCTTGGCTTCAAGTTAGCCTCTCCCCTCCTACCCTCCCGCAGCCTCCCAAAGTGCTGGGATTACAAGCATGAATCACTGAGTCCAACCTGTAGTTTCTTCTTACTTTATTTTTTATTTTATTTTTTTGAGACGGAGTCTCACTCTGTTGCCCAGAGCGGAATGCAGTGGCGCATTCTTGGCTCACTGCAACCTCACTTCCCGGGTTCAAGTGATTCTCCTGCCTCAGCCTCCCGAGTAGCTGGGACTACAAGGCCCGCCACCATGTCCGGCTAATTTTTTTCTATTTAAAAAAATTTTTTTTTTTTTTTTTTTTTTTTTTTTGAGACAGAGTGTCGCTCTTGTTACCCAGGCTGGAGTGCAATGGCACGATCTCGGCTCACCGCAACCTCCGCCTCCTGGGTTCAGGCAATTCTCCTGCCTCAGCCTCCTGAGTAGCTGGGACTACAGGCACGCGCCACCATGCCCAGCTAATTTTTTGTATTTTTAGTAGAGACGGGGGTTTCACCACGTTGACCAGGATGGTCTCGATCTCTCGACCTCGTGATCCACCCGCCTCGGCCTCCCAAAGTGCTGGGATTACAGGCTTGAGCCACCGCGCCCGGCTCTATTTTAAAAATTTTTACAAAAAAAATACAGTCTCATACCGATGCAGTGGTTGCTGTAAGGGGGGGGTCCTCTCTGCGCCTGACCGCCGTCGCCAGTCTGAAGCTGAGCAAATAGGCCAAGCAGAGGCTTCAGCAGCTCTTCCGGGGGAGCCAGTTTGCCATCCGCTGGGGCTTTATCCCTCTTGTGATTTACCTGAGTCAGTGAGAGAAGAACCGGGAAAGTTTAGAATGGCAGTAGTTCTGAACCCTGGCTGTACATTAGAATCACTTTAGGAGAGGTAAAACCATACTCACGCTGGAGACCTACTCCTAGAAATTCTGATGAGTTTGGGGTTGGAACCTGGCCATTGATCTGCCAGTATGGTTTCACTATATTGGCCGGCCTGGTCTGGAACTCCTGACTTTGAGATCCGCCTGCCTCGCCCTCCGAAAGTGCTGGGATTACAGGTGTAAGCCACCATGCCCAGCCAGTTTTTTCTTTTTAATTTTATTGCCCCACTCAGTCAGTTTGGCAAAAGAGAAAGCAGATTTGTTCATCCTAGCTGTGTCAGTTTGAGCATATAGTTTGACAATTCTACAACTCAGTTTCACATTTTAAAATACTATGATTTTAACAAGGTGCTGCTTCCTTTTTGATTTAGGTGTCGTGTGTTGTATAAGATAAAGTACACTGTGTGGCTGAGCAGCTGTGGTTTCTACTTGTCCATGAGTTGCAAGTCAACTGTGATAACCTGGGTATAGAACTCAAAAAAATCTTTTTCCTCCCTATTTTGAGTGCAAGCTTTTTTTTAAAAAAGCATTGCTTTTCTAGATTTTAGTGACTTTGTATGGATACCAAGGATTAGAGTAAATATGACAGCCAGCTGGTGTTTTCACCGGTATTCTTGTAGCTCCTCTTCCCTCGATCCACTTCTTTCACTTGCTGATGGAAGGCCGTTCTCTGGCTGGGCAAACACTGTGTTAGCTCACCTTTTAGCTAAGAGGTGTGGAAGCTTGATTCTTCCCCTTCTTTGTGCCACCTTCTTTTTCATTGTGTATGCCAGGTCCTATTTTAGCTTGCTCTTGCTTTTTGTGTCCCTGTGGTTCTTTGCTTCTCTGTCTTTTCATCTACTGTTCCCTCCTCCCTGTTTTGAGATTCCTATTCTATTGCTAGAAAGCTGTAGCTGGTTGCTACAATCTGCATGACAGGGGCTTTGGTCTAAGGATGGATAACGCATTCCTTTTCCATACTAGAGTTTATTTTTCTTTTTATACACACTGGCTGTGTTCTCTTCCTAGGACTACCATTATGGTGATTTTTCACCCCAACATTCAATTCAGGTTATACAAGATTAGTGTTAAGACTGTCTTTCCAGTACTTGTTTATCATTGTCTTTTTCCTCATACTGTATATTTAGTCTAAACCAGTTCCCATGTTGAAATAGAGACAGGGTCTTGCTGTGTTACCCAGGCTGGTATTGAACTTCTGGCCTCAAGTGATCTTCCTCCCAAAGTGCTGGAATTACAGGCATGAGCCACCACACCTTGCTCCAAGTTCTTTTACTTCCTCCACCTCAACTCACTAAAACCAGCAACTGCAAATTGAACTTTAAATGTAATTCAGGTTCAACTGTAACTTTTAGTGCTTTGGGGAGTACAGTGGTATAAAATATGACAGGCGGTGACACGATCATAGAGAATCTGTCTGGACATTTACCATCAAAAAGGTTGTTTTTTTAGACGATGTCTTGCTCTGTCACAAGGCTGGAATGCAGTGGCACGATACTGGTTCACTGCAGCCTCCACCTTCAGGTTCAAATAATTCTCCTGCCTCAGCCTCCCGAGCAGCTGGGAATACAGGTGCCTGCCACCACACCCAGCTAATTTTTTGTATTTTTTGTAGAAATGGGTTTTACCATATTGGCCAGGCTGGTCTTGAATTCCTGACTTCGTGATCCACCCATCTCAGCCTCCCAAAGTGCTGGGATTACAGGTGTGAGCCATAGTGCCGGGCCCAACAAAAAGGTTTTAATGAGCCACTTGTTGGAAGACAATCCTCCATGTTCTCTTGCATTTCTGCACATCTTATAAGCAGAGACTCTGATGATCCTTTGTTCCATATTATCTTTTGAGGGTGTTTGCAGAACAAGCAGCCTTGGAAAATAGTACCTCCAGTCAGAGCAATGGGAGATGTGCTTACATTAATGGGAGATGTGCTCCCATTATAAAAGATTCTGGTTCCCTAAACTCAGGTTTATCTCCTGCAGTGCAATCCATGACATGTGCAGGTGTCATCTGAACTTTTCTGCATAGAAATTGAGAGTTGAGGAACTGAAGCAGAAATGATGCTCTTACAGCTGGGAGTAATTAACTGTTCTTTGTCTCTGACTTAGAATATTGTCTATACCAGGCGTCCCCAAACTTTTTACACAGGGGGCCAGTTCACTGTCCCTCAGACCATTGGAGGGCCACCGCATACTGTGCTCCTCTCACTGACCACCAGTGAAAGAGGTGCCCCTTCCTGAAGTGCGGGGGGTGGGGGGGTGCTGGATAAATGGCCTCAGGGGGCTGCATGTGGCCTGCGGGCCGTAGTTTGGGGACACCTGGCATCTGTGAAACTGGGAGGCCAGCTTGTTATCTTCTAAATAAGATAAAACTGCAGACCCCTCATAGTTCTTGAAACCTTTCTGACAATCAGTTACTTCAACAAGTGAGCATATATGTTATCAGATTAATTTGTCAGTATATTTTAAACGGTAAAAGATAGGCTTAACCATACTTGTCATGAGTTGATTTAATTAGGTTGTTAAATAGTAAGTATTGAATGATCCATCCCCTGCTGCCTCACCCTCACCCCCACCCCCACCCTGTCCCTTTTCTGTCATTGGTCTTTGTTTTTTAAAAAGAGAGGTTTGTGGGGGATAAAATATCCTCAGTTGTGTTTTTAAAGAAGGTTTAGTTTACTTTCCTCCAGGCATGGTGGTTCACGCCTGTAATCTCATACTTTGGGAGGCTGAGGTGAACGGATCACTTGAGCCCAGGAGTTCAAGATGAGCCTGGGCAATATCATGAAAACTTGTCTCTAGAAAAAAATTAAAAAGTTTAGTTGTTTGTTTTTCCAAATATCAGTTTGCTCTTCATAGTCTTTCATCCAGTATAAATTGGGAGTTGTGGTATCTTATTTCTCAGTAATGACTAATAATGAAAGATAGAGCTTGCTAAGGATAATTGTGCTAATTGTGTATGTAACAGGAATAATGGCCATGTGTGCTGGCTTACTAAAAAAGTTGTTTGTTTTGGTCTGGACATGGTGGTTCACACCTGTAATCCCAGCACTTTGGAAAGCTGAGGCAGGTGGATCATTTGAGGTCAGGAGTTGGAGACCAGCCTGGCCAGCATGGTGAGACCCTGTCTCTACTAAAATTTAGCTGAGTATGGCATTGGGTGCCTGTAATCCTAACTACTTAGGAGGCTGAGGCAGGAAAATAGCTTGAGCCTGGTACGAAGAGGTGTTACAGGCTGCAGTGAGCCGAAATCATGCACAGCGCTCCAGCCTGGGTGACAGTGAGACTCCTGTCTCAAAAAAAAAAGGGAATAAGATAGCTTGTTTTTCCTACTGATTAGTCCTGGACATAATTTCATACCGTACTGAAAATTGGAGACTGTTCTGTAGTGCAAGTAAAGCTAGATAGTACTGGTTGATTTAGATACCATTCTATCTATCCTAGGTTGAATTACAAAGAAGAAGAAGTCTTGACTGAAAATGTTTTGTCTGCTAAGGTTTTAATTAATATTTTTTCTCTTTTATCTCCTTGATTCAGGATTTAAGAGAGGTGCAGATCCTGGAATGCCTGAACCAACTGTTTTGAGGTACTGCTATTAAAACTAAACATTTCAGGACAAATTTTCATATAGTTGTGCTGAATCACTAGGATATAAAAGAGTAGTAGTGGCAGTCATTGAAATCGAGCTTTATCAGTCAGTATAATTTTGGGCTATTGGAAAACTGCAACTATTTTCTCTTCCCCCTCCCAATTTGTATTTACTATACCATGTTACAACTATAATGATGAAGCATATTTTAACAAGAATTAATTTATTATCCTACCACTTTAAAATGCAGAACAGTTTTAAATTTCCTATATTCCCATCTTATCCTCATTCAGATGAATACAACCTTATATGTCGTTCTCACAAGGGTATGCGGGATTTTGTTTTCACCTAAAATTTGAGTTGCTGTCCCACATATTTTCCAGTTGTGGATTACCTAGGTTTTTCAATATTTCAATATTTTACACAACAATATAATTAACACTTGGGTGGAGTGTGGTGGCTCACGCCTGTGATCTCAGCACTTTGGAAAGCCAGGGTAGGAAGATGGTGGGAAGATTGCTTAAGGCTAGGAGTTCAAGACCAACATAGTGAGACCCCCATCTCTAACCAAAAAAAAAAAGTAAATAAATAATTAACATTTGTGTATATGTAGCTTTTATAGATTTTAATTTCCTTATAAATTCTCATAGGATTTATAAAGTATATGAACATTTATGGCTCTTGACTGCCAAATTCCTTTCTCAGAAACAATCTTGCTGGTATTGGTAAGCACTTATGAAAATTTCACACAACATACATATTCATACACACATGTATGTGCATACTTGTGAAAATAATATGCATAGGAATAATCTCAAATAGGCAAGTTTGCTCTGGAGGAAGGACTGATACTTAATGGCACTGTGATGACCATGACTGCTACACGCTGGTGAATTGGATTTCTGCTTGATCCTGTCTCTTGTGGGTTGCCCTAACAGACTTTTCACTGACTGTTCTAGGGCTTCATTTATTTTCTTCAAACTTCTCTGAGCTACATTTTTCTAGAGTGGGCAGAAAATACTTTATTCACTGTCACCTTCAGTGTGTCAGCCACTGCTTTAGGTGCTTTTTACGCAATGTATCTAATTGTCACTTCAGTCCTTCAGAGCAGGTTATACAGTTAGTAGGTGGTAGAATATGTTCTATTTCTAAAGCTTACACTCTTTCCACTGGGTCATGCAACCTTCCTCAAGTAATTTTACCTCTGCCTTTACTTAGCACAGTGCCATCTGATACGAATTTCCTCTACCCCATATGCTTTGCTGTTCTCTTCTTTTTCAGAGCAAGGTCTTTTTTTATTCTCAAAGGGTACTACAATATGTGTCTTCAACTTGTTCACTTCTGCAGTTACTCTGTTTTCCCGGATAAAGTTCTTTAACAAATGGTCTTCCCTACTTTCTTCCCCTCCCTCTCTTCCTTTAACTGTTTATGGCATGACTTCTAAAAACTGTTTTCAGAGATTCTCCACTAACTCCTTTATTCTTAGCCCTTACTCTATTTTCTTTTCTGTAAAATAGGGATTGAGGTAATATACCTGCTACCTACTAGTTGAGTGGCCTCGTCCTTAGAGAAACATTACCTTGGGAAACAGAGAGGACTACTGAGTCAAGTTGTGTGGAGATTTTCTAAGTATTGGAAATTACCATCAAATACCTTTCTCCAAGAAGCCATTAACCTTCCTAAGCGGTCATCGCCTTCTTTATCAGTTGGGGCTAGTAATACCTACGTAATGAAGTTGCCATGAGCACTGAATAAGAATATTATATTTGAAGTATTAACAGTATTATCAGGTAATATGTGATCAGTAAATCGTAATTTTTAATCTTTCCGATGTCATCTTCTCATCCCTATTTCCTTATCCTATGAGAACAGTGCTCTGGCTATATGATACTGCATGCTCAATCCCAGAATAAACTATATGTGGTTTTATGCCTTTGCTCCTGTATTTGTGCTCCTTTAGTCTGGAATTGATTTTTCCCTTTAGTTTCCGCTGGGTGAAAACCTGCTTTTAGAAAAGCCCAGTCTCAAATGTTGCTCCTTCCGTAAATCTTTTCCTTTCCTCCTAGCTAAAACTACTCTTTTTTTGTGTTCCCATAGTTTTCTTTCTTTCTTTGTAATTTTTAATTTTTTTCTTTTTTTTTCTTTTTGAGACAGAGTTTCTCTCTTGTTACCCAGGCTGGAGTGCAATGGCGCGATCTCTGCTCACCGCAACCTCCACCTCCTGGGTTCAGGCAATTCTCCTGCCTCAGCCTCCTGAGTAGCTGGGATTACAGGCAAGCGCCACCATGCCCAGCTAATTTTTTGTATTTTTAGTAGAGAGGGGGTTTCACCATGTTGACCAGGATGGTCTCAATCTCTCGACCTCGTGATCCACCTGTCTCGGCCTCCCAAAGTGCTGGGATTACAGGCTTGAGCCACCGCGCCCGGTGTAATTTTTAATTTTTATATTGCCTAGTCTGGTCTCAAACTCCTGGGATCAAGTTACCCTGCTGCGGCCTCCCACAGTGTTGGGATTATAGGTGTGGGCCACTGTGCCCAGCCCCATAGTATCCTTTTGTATCTGTCATTTTCTGCCTTGTATTATGCTTGTGGCTATATTTTGTCCCATAAGCACCTGAAGTTGTTGTTCAACAAGTATTGAATTAACCTAATGACACTCATTTCTTGATAGTCTTCTGTGGGTTTTTTGTATTGTATTTTAATTTTTTATAGAGACAAGGTCTCACTGTGTTGCCCAGGCTGGTCTTGACCTTCTGGGTTCCAGTTATCCTCCCACCTGGGCCTCTCAGTATGCTAGAATTACAAGCATGAGTCACAACACCTGGCCATCGTGGTCCTGTGGATAGGAATTGATAAAGCATTGCATCTTGTACAAATTTTAGGCTGGACTTGCATGCTGGGAAATAACAGTTTTGTGTGTGTTCTGGGTGATTTAGGATACAGAAGTAGGGATATTACAATGTGTCTTTCTGTTGTCCTTTTTTGGGGCTGCATTTATCCCAGCAAGATTTGAATCTTCAATGACTAGATGAAGCATCCCTGTCCTACCGCTTTTTATTTCTTAAACTTACTGTCTTCTCTGCTTCTTTCCTTCTTGGTGCTAACTCTCGATTTTTTTTTCCGTCATTAAGAGCATCTTCTGGTTTCTTTCCAGAGGTGTGTGTGTTTTAGGAAATAATTGAGCCAGTGCCTGCAAAGGGTTATTGAGTTACGGAATTTCATGCACTGTGCAACATAAAATTTATTGTTTATTAATATAAAGTCTATTGTTTCTACATACATTTATTATTTATATAATACATATGTAAATAATACAGTTAATGATTTACCAATTTGTTTCCCTTGCCAAATTGTTGGGTTCTTTGAGGTTAGGACCACATTCATCTTCATATCCTCTTTTACCCAGGATGGCTCTGTTTTTTTTTTTTTTAATATTTGACCTTCTGAAAGGATGGCTCATTTTATGTGGTCAACAAATGTTGACATGAATGCCTTATTAAAAAGTACTTTAATATACAGGGGGCAGTGTCATAGTAAAACATTTAGAGAAACTATGTGAATGTCAAGGCAAGAGATTGAATGCCTCTGCCTCCTGGGTTCAGGCAATTCTCCTGCCTCAGCCTCCTGAGTAGCTGGGATTACAGGCATGCGCCACTATGCCCAGCTAATTTTTTTGTATCTTTAGTAGAGACGGGGTTTCACCATGTTGACCAGGATGGTCTCGATCTCTTGACCTCGTGATCCACCCGCCTCGGCCTCCCAAAGTGCTGGGATTACAGGCTTGAGCCACCGCGCCTGGCCTTTTTTGTGGTTTTTTTTTGAGACAGTGTCTCACTCTGTCACCCAGGCTGGAGTGTAGTGGCACAGTCATGGCTCACTGTAGACTTGACCTCCTGAATTTAGGTGGTCCTCCTACCTCAGCCTCCCAAGTAGCCAGGACCACAGGCGTGTATCACCATGCATGGCTAGTTTTTTTTTTTTGTAGAGACAGGGTTTTGCCATGTTGCCCGGGCTGGTTTCGAACTCCTGGGCTCAGGAGGTCCACCCGCCTTGGCCTCCAAAAGGCTGGGATTATAGGCATGAACTATCATGCCCAGCCAAGAATTTATTTTCCTATCTTAACTGCGTAAAAATACTTAGGGTTTAAGGGGAGATTTTAATATGCATCTGAAAATTGGAAATAGTTATGTGTTTTCTTCTTAGGCACAGGGAAAATATGTAAAAAAATAAACTTTACGAAACTGTCATTGTCATTTTATAAGGCAGTTTTATTCAACTGGGCTACATTTTTAAGCAGCAGGATTTACAAATGAAACCAACTCTTTTCTCCTTCTTGGACTCTATTTTATAGAGTCAACAAATGATTTGGGAGTTTGGACTTCTTAATGGCTGGAATGTTTGGGGTTAGAATTAGTTGAGGTGGAAGTGGAGGCTAATTGCTCCCTAGGAACATAATGGTTTTAAGAGCATTTAGGTCACATCACACTCTACCCACTTAAATGATATGTTACTATCTCAGAGCCTCAATTTTCACATCTTTAAAATAGTAATCGTAATTTGTAGTTGTGAACTTTCCACAGTGTTTAATGTACTGAAATGTTAACTAAATAAATGTTACTTTAATATTATTGATGTTGTATCTAATAATGAGATAGCTTTGTTTTCTGGGTTTATCGGGCCTACCTGTTCATGGAAATCAGTAATCATTTTCCTTTTGCTTGACTTCATTTTATGTCAGCTCACATTTTTTTTTTATGGTAGGTAACTGCGCTCAAAAGTAACTAAACTGTATTTCTTTTACTATAGGTCCGTATGTTTAATTTGCTTGTTCAGTGGGATTGATCCTTGTCTTCTGACAACTCTGAATTTGATAGATGAGGAAACAAACATAAATGTATAAAATTTTCTAGGTCTTAGGTTGTGTCTAAAAGATTTTTATTTTGGGATTTATTTCTCCTCTTTACAAAAATTTTAGCCTACTTTGGGGATAAAGGATTATTTGGTCTTCTGGATTTGGAAGCAATTTAGCAGACAGCATGGAAGATGTGTACTCTGGCTTGGATAAGAAACGGGACATCGTTTGGTCACCAGTTGGATGGCACAAGGCTCGTCACAGATGAATCTGTAGCAGAGTGGAACTTGTACTAACTTACAATAGAATGTATCAGAATAAATGTTTTTAACAATGTTATGTCTTGAGTCTTTTTTGAATTGAACATGCTGTTATCAGGTAAAAATTAAGCTTTTTGGTACTTTTTCAAAACAGGGAATTTCTGTGTGTACCTAGGGTGCTATTTAAACAAAAAATTTTCCAAGTTAATTCCTGCCCATTCACTTAACATACGGATTACAGTTTCCCTTTGCAGCGAATCAGTAACTCCCTTAAGGTAGCAAGAATACAGATAGTTTTCAGTTCGTGGCAAACCAAGCCATTACTTCTTCCTCTGCATTGAAGTTCTGACTGCAAGAAATAGGAGTCCTGGCAGCTCTATTGCTAGGGGATGGGAACTGCACTGCAGAGTTTTGTGTTTGATTTATTTGTAGGTTAAATGTGAGTCTAAGGTTTCCCTCAGTTGTGTTAGGAAACTAGAGCTGCCTGGGCAAGAGCCCATGGAGAACTACATGGAATAGTTAGCACTATTTTCTGGTAGAAGAAAAGGCAGCTAATAAATGGAAACTAGTTTTCAGTTCTAGATACTGGTTTCCTGGGACCTTCACCTGTATTTGAATCCTTTTATTACTTAGTTTTTTCCATTCTTCTAACAAAATAGTGTTATTTACTATGTGTAGCCGTTGTTACTAATATAAGAAAGTAGAACCTAATATAAGACAGTTTAGAAAGAGCCCATTGGGTTGAATATTTTAAGCATCCAGTGTTGAGTGATCATGAATATAATCCCTCTCAGGTGTTGGGAGCTGTCATCACCAGAAAGTTCTTATTTCTAATGTAAAACCCTCTTAGCTATTGAAGCCTATTTCCTCCGTCTTCTTACCTTTGCCCTGGAGATGTAGAAGACTATTGTGGCAGCTTATTGCATAAGGGGATTTTAAAGTGGAATTTTTGAGAGCTAACTGCAGAAAATCAGTTTTGGTAAGTACTTAACATAATTGCTTCAGCATCTTGGTGAATCTAGCCATGTGTAATTTTGCTGAAAACTGAGCATAGTATTAAAATTCCATAGAATTGCTTAAGTTTCCGCCCCCACCCCCTTCCTTTTTGCCAAGTGTGTTGTAGGGAATTTTCGTATTTTGTTTATACATTTTTCTTCTGTTTCTCACTCAGGTTTTCCAGAAATTGAGAAAGCTGTGGCAGATATCTGTTTTGATAAAATAGTAATGTGAATGGTAAAGATAACTGATTGTATTCTTTTAAGGATTACCTTTGTGAACCCCAGATATCTAAGACAGGTCTCAGTCAGTTTAGAAAGTTTATTTTGCCAAGGTTAAGGATGTGCCCATGACAGGCTCAGGAAATCCTGAGGAGGTGTGCCCAAGGTGGTGGTGGTGGTGGTGGGTGGGGGAGTTTGCTTTTATACATTTTAGGGAGACATGAGACATCAGTATGTCTAAGATGTACATTGGTTCGGTCTGGTAAGGTGGGACAACTCAAAGTGGGGACTTCCAGGTTAGAAGTAGATGAGAGACAAAAGGTTGCATTCTTCTGAATCCTTGATCAGCCTGAATACGGAATTTAGTCTGGGTCATTGTGTTGTGCCTTAGTGAGTCGAGGCATGTGCTGTGAGTCCTTTATTATGCTGGTGACCAAGAGGTGGCTAATGCCCAAAATTGTCTCAGCCCCTAAGAAAAAAGTGGTCTTTTATACCCTAGTTTAAAAGGGAGGGGGAACCTAGCTGAAGCAAAGTTTTCACAAAAGCAGAATAAGCAAAAAATTAAAAGATAACTAGTACATGAGAAAGAAAACAGTGCCAGTTGCAAGGGGCAAAGCTGTCATGAAAGACAATTTACGGATAATGGGGGCTCTGGGTGCTCGACAGCACCTGCATTCCCAGGCTCTGCTGGTACCACTTAATTCAGCCTCTTAGCAACAGATGCATTCCTGGAGGTGCCCAGTGTCAGCCTGCCCCAGCTACATACTATAGTTACACACTTAATTTTGGGAAAATAACTAAAATGAAGAAGCTAAGATGGAGTCTGTCCGGCTCAAGAAGCTAACATAAAGCCTGAACAGCTTTTTTTTTTAGACGGAGTTTTCGCTCTTGTTACCCAGGCTGGAGTGCAATGGCACGATCTCGGCTCACCGCAACCTCCGCCTCCTGGGTTCAGGCAATTCTCCTGCCTCAGCCTCCTGAGTAGCTGGGATTACAGGCACGCGCCACCATGTCCAGCTAATTTTTTGTATTTTTAGTAGAGACGGGGTTTCACCAAGTTGACCAGGATGGTCTCGATCTCTTGACCTTGTGATCCACCCGCCTCGGCCTCCCAAAGTGCTGGGATTACAGGCTTGAGCCACCGCGCCCAGCGGGAGATTTCTTAAATCGGCATCTGCTTGTTGGGTTAGGGACCCTAGTCCAGCTTCTCCTTGGACCAGTGCTGCTGTGCCAATTGCTGCTGACCCAGCCACACAGGCCAGCCAAAAGGGGCACTAGGAGTGGAGCACCCTGTCGTACTCTGGGGTGCAGTTCAGGAGGGGCAATGAGAAGCTGTCCCTCTGGTCCACTGTACACATAAACCTGAGGAAGCACATGAACTAGCATGCACAGGAGAGGTCCAGGTTCAGTCCCGCTAATACAGCGGATGAGGCCTGAGGTGCAAGCTAGCCAAGTGGTATTTGGTGCCTGGTAGGAGACTGTAGTTAGGGAAGTAATCAGAGACTGATGACAGGTGGCAGGAGGCATTTCCTGAAACATCCCCTAATGTAAAGGAGTGAGGATGAGTGTGACACAAAAGAAGGCCAGTGTTCAACTTGACCTCAACTCCCAATCCAACATAATATGGAGGTTTGGCCTTCAGGCAAAGCTAACAGTCTTGGGCCAGTTGAGGCTGAGTAATATTAAGGAGGTGATGCACTCCCCCTAAGATGGACATTAAGCTGGGTTAGAGGTGTTGGGGTTGCAGCCGGAGTTGGGGAGCCTGGACTGGCGATAGGACAGTTGAGCCAATGGGGCTGACCTTATCTGGGTGTGGGCAGAATATAGGGCCTCCTAAATCAGTTAAGGGGCCAATGGGTTTAGGGGGGCTCCAGGGGATCAGGATCCTCTTCTGAATGGTAAACATAGTTCCAAGATCAAACCCTTCGATACAGAGTTCCAGTCCCCATGCCATACCATAGTACAGAGTTAGGGTTATGGACAGTTACAGTAATGGGATTATAGGCTCCCATAGTACACGGTCTGGGACCAGAGGTCCGAGCTATGGAAAGGGTTGGAGACTGAGTTGGCCTCCCTGAGTAAGTAGCCAAGTTTACAGATGACCAAAAAGGGCAGAAAAACTCATAACTGTCCTGGCAGACAGTGTCAGGGTGGTCTCCAGGACAGAGGTAGAAATCTACTCCTTGGAGTCCCTTTTCTGCACCCCTCGAGCTGCTGCATCCACTTTCACTTCCAGTGTGCCCAAACCCTGCAGCAAGTTCAGTGAGTCCCACTCCTGCCCACAGGGGCAAACTTCGCTGGTCCTCGAGGGAACAGCTGGGCTTTGGGGAAAAACTTATAAATCGATTGAAAAAGAAACTTTATTGTAGGTACTTTCTTTCCAGGTGGTGTTTGCAAGCACCTGTTGCAAAAGAAGTAAGGAGAAAAGAGTAGGAGGTGGCAGAGGGCTGAATGACTGGGAACAGACAAGAAAAGTAGACAAAAAGAACTAGTCTGATGGCTGCACCCGACTCAGGCGCAGTTTTAAGGGGCCTAAGGTGGGCTTAGGTACCCATGTTTCTTGCTATGTCCTGTTGGCCTTCTTGATGCAGGAGTGATAAATCCAAGCAGGAATACCGTCCACCCTTAGGGCCGTGGGTGTAATAAGGATGACAGTGTGAGGTCCTTTCTAAGCAGGAATGAGACCTTCCTTCTGGAACTTTTTGACATACACCAGGTCACCTGGACAGAAAGGGTGGCAGGATCTTGTCAGATCAGGAGCTGGATTAGGGTCTGCTTCCTGGACAAGTGGTTGAATAATATCTTGGAGAGACTGCAAGTATTGTAACACGTTAGCTTGGGATATTTCTGCTAACTGGGTATCCCTCAATTTAGGCAAAACAGATGGGGTCCTCCCATACATGATCTCAAAAGGAGAGAATCCCACCTTGTAAGGGGTGCACCTGCCCCTAAGAAGGGCTAAAGGAAGGAGACTTACTCAATTTTCACCGGTCTCCAGGATTAATTTGGTAAGAGTACTTTTTAGGGTATGGTTCATGTGTTCTACCTGTCCAGAGCTCTGGGGTCGGTAGGCACAATGGAATTTTCACTGAACATTTAATGCCTTGCTGACTGACTAAGCTATGGACAAGGTGAAGGCCAGCCCATTATCAGACCCTATAGCAACAGGCAATCCATAACGAGAGATAATTTCATTGAATAAGAACTTTACCACTGTAGTGGCAGTTTCGTTCTTAGTGGCAAAAGCCTCTGTCCATCCGGAAAACGTGTCTGCCAACACCAGGCGGTACTTATACCCTGCCCAATGTGGCTTCACTTCGGTAAAGTCAACTTCCTACCTCTCTCCTAGGCTATGTTCTTGGAGACGATGGCCCAATCCAGGCTTCAGGCCTTGCCTGGCATTCACCTGTGCACAAGCTGTGCATCGGAAGGCCACTTGGCTAGTTAAGTCCTGGAGGTGTAGGATTTTAAATAGCTTCTCAAAAGTTGGGCCAACTTTGTTTCTCCCAATTGGGTGGAAGAGTGGAGGCAGCTGATTAAGGCCTCTCTGAGGGCCCGGGGCAGGAAGATTCTGGAGTCTGGAAGGATCCACCATCCATCCTGATTTTTACTGGCTTGCAGATCCGATGCCTGCTTTTCTTCTTCAGAAGAGTATGCTGGGTGGTCGGGTAAATCAGGCTGTGGAAAAGAGATGGCTGGAAGCAGAGTTAGTGGAGTAACCGGGAGTGCAGCAGCATCATAGGCAGCACAGTCTGGCTTTTGGTTTCCCCTAGCACCAGCAGTATTTTCCTTCTGATGTCCTTTGCAATGAATTCCAGCCACCTGTAGGGGGAGCCAGACAGCCTTGAGCAGGGCTAAAATC